CACTTTAGACTTTTTTACTAGGCTGTACTCCGTTTTTGTGGTACGAAGTTATCCAAATTCAAAATGTCATATTGCAGGTCATATTTAAGATTGGAAACATTTGTTCAGCTTTCAACTTTCCTTGAATGGACCTTTCAAAAACGGCATAAAAAATGGGAAGATTTTACATATGAATGACGTCAGCAAATGTGAAGTCATGATTTGACAATAGGGACTTTAAGATCCAACGACGCGACGGCAACAAAAACGTCGCTTAAAAGTAAATTTGCCTTCCTTCAGTCTTAATCGCGGTTATTCCTACCCACTTACTTTGTCAAATGTAGGCAAACCCTCCTGAAGTTGAACTCCAGGGGACCATATCCAAGTTCAGAAAGAGAAATAAAATTTCGATGTTGCTTTTTTACGTTCTCCATAAAACGGAAAATTAGGCATTTTCACGTCGTAGTCGCGCAAAAACGGCAAAGAAATGTACAAAAAAAGTGTGATGCACGTGCAAAGTTGTTGTTTTTCTTATTAAACCTATTGTTTTTTGACGTTCTCGTTGAGGTCGGGTTGTTGGATCTGAAAATTTTACATATGTTTATATGTTTCATATTTTGAGGTCAAGTTTGGTTAAGGAGGAGTTAAAAATCAAAAAAGTTATTGTAAATTAATCGAAATTGCCACGCTTTGATGAACCCTTTTGGGTTACGTGGTTTGGCGGCACCGTCAAATGTTCCTATGTTTTACAGTGAGCTTCTGCATTGTCCTATGTCTGTGGCTGGATGAAAAGGGCGTAGGAAGATCCTGATAACGAACCTGAACCCAAAACACTTGCTGTAACAAAAAAGGAATGTAGCTTCTTAATAGGTTCATTCCTTCTCATTATGCAATTAAACTTGATAAATAGCATCTAAAAGGTGATTGTTAGAACGATGCTGAAATGTAATGTCAGTTTTACCCAAGTACAAGTTTATATAAATTTGCGACATATTTGCAAGGAGCAATTTTGTATCCGTTTTATCGTCTGGTGTGTTAAGAGGGGAGAAACAATTGTGCAATTCACGACCTCTAAGAAGATTAAGATTAGTTCTTTATAGGCCAACAGGTATAATGGATATAATTCTTAGTCACAAGGAGCAGGAAATTAACAAACTTTACACTGACATTGTAATATACCTGTAAGACAATACAGATACCGGACGACCACAAAATAGTGTCCTTTGAAGTGAAATCGCTGTTCACCAGTATTCCACATCAACTAACTCTAGAATGTACTGAGAACGCTATTAAGAACTCTACTGTTGAGCTACCACTACCTACAGACGACATTATGGACCTACTCAACCTCTGTTTGACTTCGACGTACTTTCAGTACAACGGCAAACACTACAAACAGTTACACGGTACACCTATGGGCTCTCCAGTTTCTGTTGTTGCAGCAGAAATTGTCATGCAAAACATCGAGGAACAAGCCCTAGCTACCTATACGCGAGCTGTACCTCTTTGGTTACGTTACGTTGACGACACATTCACCGCCGTACACAAAGACGGAATCGACGATTTTCACGAACACCTAAACAGACAGAACGCGGACATACAATTCACCAAGGAGATCGAAGAAGATGGTAAGATACCTTTTCTAGACTGCTTGGTCGCTCGCGACCAAACAAACTAAATACGACTATTTACCGAAAACCGACACATACCGACCGATTACAAGACCAGTTTTCTTACAACGCAACCTCTCACAAGGCTACTACTATCCGAACTCTGACGAGACGAGCGCAACTAGTTTGCGACTCACCTGACAGCCTACAAGACGAGACTGATTATCTTAACAACGTTTTTCGTAAGATCAATTACAACACGGACTTTGTTAGACGGAACACTCACAGTAACACTGATTCCAACACTCAGACCAACTCTGGCCCTGTTACGACAGCGACTATACCGTACATCAGAGGCACCTTTGAAATTATTGCACGTATATTACAACCTTACAATATACGTGTTGCACACAAACCGATAACCGCTTTACGGCGACTGCTTACTAACGTCAAGGACGAAGACAAACCGGAGGACAGACAGGGAGCACTATACAAGATCAAATGCTGCGACTGCCAGGCTTCTTACATTGGTGAAACTGGCAGAAACCTAAGCATGCCACTGACCGAACACAAATGAGCTACGAGGAATGGTGACGTCAACAATCACATTGCTGAGCACCATTTAAAGACGAAACATCAAATTGACTGGGACTCTGCGACATGTATAACGTATTCTACAGACTACTATCAACGTCTTACTTTAGTAACTGGTTTGCTAACTTAGAACAAACGCCACTGAATCGTAGCCAACAGTTACCAGCGCCGTACAAACGGCTTATTGACGAGATCAAGCAAAACTAACTACGAGAAGAACGACTGGAGAACTGACAATTCGACTAACAATAGAGGACTGTTTAACTGTGACAATAGACGGATCGAAACGCACCAATTACGAGTCTTCATAGCCAATAACATCACGGCTTAACTGACAGACGACCAATAACATCGCGACGTAATTGACCAATCAGATCAATAACCAGAGTATAATACCATCAACTGACGTGATACAACTCACTTTGACTCTGAAGATGACTACCGCACAGGTTGTCGAAACGTCAGTCACTGTCAACAACAACAGTCCTATTCAGGACTACGTTGACCCGGACGATCAGATTCAACCTACTTTTGAATATTTCTCTAGTTAGCATTTCACCAGTGTATACTTTTATCATGGAATCATTTTGGGTTTTTTTTTTCCCTTTCTCATTCAAATATAAGAAAATATAGAAGCTCTCGTTTATATCCCGAAACCACTGAAACCACTGCGAAGAAATCGTGCTAGATCGATCACAAACATGCACTTAAAATAAACTGAGCCACTCTAGCATAAATATGTCAAGTGTTTGAAATGTTATCGCGTTCTAAAAGCTCAGTAAAGAAAGGGAAGTACACTGCATTTATCAAAAAACATATAATGCCCAACGGCGACGGTAACAAGAAAGGTAAAAATATCACTAGGTCTAATTAGCAAAATAACATCTTTGCAAGTGCACCACGCTTTCTTGAACATTTCTTATTGTGCACGACTACAACGTGAAACTTGACAAATTTCCTATAGACCTATGTGTGTATGTGCTCACAAAAGATTTTATTGCTTGTATACATGTTCAATTTTTTCTTCACTGCGGCTCATTTTCACCCTGCTGGTCGGAAGCATTTTACATTTTCTCACCACCGTTGTCAGTAGAATTTTCATTTATGTTATTCTTGCAACGAGATGCGTCTCCCTTGTTTCTTTGTTGTTTTTTTTTCTTTGTTTCTCGAACTAGCTTTTTCTGTTATCCACGTCAGTGTAGACATGATTAAAATTTAGTCGAAAAAAGACTCGGCTCTCTTGTCTTTTTCTCTCTAAACGCCCGGGTGGACATGCGATTTACCGCCAAAACGCAGAGGAGCTGCAGTGAGAAATTTTACACAAGCTTACATGAAGTGGTGAACCTATGGGTGGACGGATGGACTGTCACGTGATAACCCAAATTTCTCGCGTCTACAGGTTATTATTACTCTTAGCCATGGTGCTCCACTTCGCGCGACTCGCGCGAGGGAGCTCTCGCTATTATACCATTAAGAAAAAAAAACACGACGCTTTTGGAAGCGCCCTAAAATCTTATCTGTACTGGGGTTTTTCAATGAAACACATTCTTACCAACACATTCCAAACCATTATTATTTCGGGAAACCAGGAGCACAATTGCATTCATAAGAGCCGACGGTGTTCACAGAGCTTTGAAATGCGGGGCATTCGCGACTCTCTGCAACACATTCATCGACATCTTCATAACACAAACCACATTGTACGTATCAGACAAACCTTACCTGCAAACTCGTTAACCACCCAGAAGACTAGTATTAATTCGTTTTATAATCTGCTGGAAGGATAGCGGGTGTGGATCGGGCTGCAACCTCAACCTCACTGGCGTTTATAATCCGATATTTTGGAGAGATTATACCTTTAGCAAATAGATTATTACTTGTGTTTTACAAGATGGTGTATGAAATTTCGGGGTAGAGCTGCAGTTGTGTGGCAAATATGTTGCTGTTTATGTGGTAACATTACATTTTGCCTTTGTTCCCTAGAAGTGTAAAATCTCCTTGATTGGTGGTAAACGGGCTCAAGCTCATTTCCTTTATGACACTGACCAAAATACTCACTCCAACTTTAACACCTGCTCCTTTTTACCGGTGACAGCCAATGAAACTTGATATTAATAAGTCAAACAATAAGTATATACTGGTTCTTGGGAAAAAGAAAGTTCCCTTTTTCAAGCCAGGGTTATAATATTTCAATAACAACAAAAACGTTTTTCAACGTGACCTATTTCCCTAGCTGTTTAAAAAGATGTTTACAATCAGGGGATGACCCCGCCCCTCATGGGATCAAAAAAAATTAAATGAATACCCAGGAGCTTACAGCTGCAGCAGTTAGGTAATACATTTCTGTCACTGCTAGAGGCTTTTCTTATGATTCGCCATCTTGGATTTGACTAAAACTTCATATTTTTATTCATATTATGCAAAAATTATAACGATGCATTTTGAAAGAATTCAAATAGTCATTTTTATGACGTCATCATGTATCATTCATGCCATGAGTGAAACGTCAGCACTACCAATGTCTTAGACTGATGAAGAAGTAGAGCCCTCCGCCAATTCAATCCTCTGTGGGGTTTCAGAAACTAAAAAATGGGCGCTTAAAAGATTGTAAAAGAGAACGTAATATAGAATGATACGGTTGTCTCAGTTACAATGCCATTATTTTACTAAAAAAAAAATTAAAAGGTTATGGCGACAGTCGACTGCCCTGCACTTTAGTTTATTGCGTTTAAAATTTTATGGAAATCGCTCGCCTTAAAGCGCGATTCACTGAAGAAATAAAACAATATAGGTTACAAATATTCTTGGCGGAATCGATTACTTTTCACATATATAACCCTTCACTTCCCAGCAGATATCATCGTGCCATTCTCCGTCGTAGCTAACGCCATCATGCGTTCCCATTCGTATTCCTCCGCAGTTTTCGCCGTTGCCACCATTTGGCTCGCCACTTTTCCAGTTTGTCAATCCAGTCAATTCAGTGTTGTCTCTCCATTTCCATTGACCTTCAGAAACAGAGTCACTGAGTCCAATCCAATAATCCGATTGGCCTGTCAGAAACTGCCTTTTGATGAAGTCGTTTTCCTCGGTAGATTCGATCTTTATCAGTACGCCGCTTTGTTGATTCATGCAATAAGCTTCTGCATTGCTCCATGTCTCAGTGGTAGTTATAAGTTTATAACACGATCCGCCAAAAGAAACCCATTGCGCCAAAGAAGCTAACAACGAAGAAGATATTAATATAACTACTTTATAAACTGTAAATTTAGGGAAAAAACTGTAAAAACCGACTACATATTACCTGGAGAGGGTGTCTGTGATGAGGGAGATATAGATGCATGCCCTGCAAAATGAAATAACCTCTCAAGTTATTCTTAATGGACTGAAAGATATATATTCGCCTAGTTAGGATTTCGAGGTGTGTTTTAGGTTGGATTTCAGTAAACGGTCATAGCGTCGTGGATAGTTAATTCTTGTTTTCCTACATTGGCCACTAAAAAGCAACCAATTAAGAAGTACGGATTTCGGTCCACTTCTTGAAGCTTCAAGTTTATTTAGTAGTATAGCATTACTAAGTGTAACGCCTTCCCAGTTGTTTTGTTTAACACGTGACCCGGTCACGCGCATCCGGGTTTTCAGTTTTTTGTAAGCTCGACTAGAGAGCGGAGTTTTTTTGGCAACGTCGCCCAACGCAGTTCTTTAGGCTTCGCACGAAGCATGTTGTAATAGCCATTACAGTCTTTGACGGTCCCTTCGGTCCGTTAACATCTTGTGAACCAGCATTAAACGGAACTAAGGATCTTGTTAGACGTTTTGGTCATTGTGGAGTGAACCTTTCAGAATTTCTGCAACGCATGTTGCCCTCGCGCCGCCTTCACCCAAAAGCGGTCGCTACAGTCAAAGACTCGTATTTACCTCAAGGAACTTTGAAGACTCCTGTTTAATCTGAGGAACTCCAACGAATTGTATTTACGCCGAGGAACTTTACCATGGATTCAGCAAAATTCGATGATAAACACGAGGATACCGGACTCGGGCTAACCTTCGTGTCGAGACCAGAGGAATTTCTCATCGAGAAGAGCGCAAAAAACACACCTCAAGCCCAGCTCACGAAGAAATCGTCGACTCAACAAAGACTGAGGTTAGCTCATCTGTTATTTTACCGGATAATGTGTCTTTACGTCCAAAAATAGAGGAAATTTCATCGATTACAAATGCCGACATTATTGTCGATTCGAGTAACACTAGGCCCAGGACCCTCACGGCCAAAGGGCGGGAATACAAATGTGGCTTGAAGAGAAGCGCTGCGATAGATAACGACCGTCAGTTTCGCTCTAAATTAGACACTTTTAAAGAGCAAATCCTCTCAGGCAAAGATCCTAAGGAAATTAAGGAAGATATTTCAGCTTTGATCAAGGAGTTAGACATTGTCTTACAAAGTTTTGACCAATGGATAGAGCTATCAGATGATTCGGATGAAACTCATCAGGCCACAAGTAAACAAGCTTATCTGCTTGACACATGGAAAGCAGTTCATGATACAGCCGTGAAAGAAATTGACAAATTACAAAATGATGCAGCCTCTATCACATCTCAAAGGTCCCACCGTTCACGAGTCTCGAAAGGGTCGGGATCAAGTAGAAGTTCTTGCAAGGAGACCCTGCTTGAATTTCGAGCTAAGAGAGCAGCCCTAGAAGAAACGTTGAAGTTTTCAGCAGTTATTGCCGAACAAAAACAGAAACTGGAACAGTTGAAAATACAAAAAGAACTTGGAGAAGTCACTGCACAAGAGCAAGTCTACCAAAAAGCAATGCAAGAAGAAAACTGTCTGCAGTCGCCTGCACTGCCGACAGAAACCTATGATCCAATTTCCACCTTTATTGCCAGCAATAATGCTGACGAATATACGTCTACACCGGGTGCGCCTGCTACAACGCTCTTTGACACTAGAACACCAGTGACTAAAGTGACAGTGACGTCATCGTCCACACCACTTGACGTTGTATCTGTATCTTTGAATCAAGGCCCTCAAGGATCAACCAATCGAATCTCACACTCTACCACTGCAACCACCTTCAGCTTAAGAGGACAAGCTCCTCCAGTTTACACATCGCCTGCGTGTACTATGTCCCAAATTGGACTCACACCTCCAAGAGGTTTTTGCGGAAATTTTCCAGCGTTTGTACCATCGTCATATACAGCCTACTCCCCTGCACCCCAAGATTATTCAGTGCAACTAACTGACACCCTAGCCAAGATCAGTCAGCTACAACGCCTCCCTCAAGCCACGCCAGATGTTTTTAAGGGTGATGAGACTGACAAGACTAAATTCTTCCTGTGGGAGAATTCTTTTGATAGTCTGATTGATTCAGCACCAGTGACAGCCCAACAGAAACTACACTTCTTGTACCAATATTTGGATGGCAAAGCCAAAAAAGTGGTAGAGCAGCTTCAGTACTTAGTGCAGAACCCTGAAAGTGCGTATCAACAAGCCCGCACAATCCTCAAGGAACGTTTTGGCCACCCAGCAATAATCAGTACCAGTTTTCAGAAGAAATTAACAACCTGGCCAAAGGTGGGACCGAACGATGCAGCAGCCTTAGAAGAATTCAGTGACTTCCTTCAACAGGTGAAGATTGCAAGCGAACACATTTTGAGTCTCCAAGTCCTTAATTACCCGTCACAGATTCAAAGTCTTGTCGAAAAGCTGCCATCGTGGTTCAAGCCCAAATGGTCTGATAAAGTGCTGAAACTTCAGAAGAAAGAAGGCAAGGACACATTCCCTTCATTTGCAGACTTCGCTCAAGAAGTGCGTTACCACGCTGAGCGTGTCAACATACCTCAAATTGTTCAAGCTTCAGGTTCAAGTGGTACACCACAGACAGACCGTTTCAAACCTTTGAACCGCCAACCCCGCCTGCGTCCTCCAGCTGTTAATCTGACCTCCGCTTCACCCCCAGTAACAATGGCGAGACAAATGCTAATCACGAAGAACCAATAGAAATCTCCAATGTGCTTTCAACCCATGCTCAGCAACCGGACACTACCAAAGCTACTGCGGCTAACACGTATTGCTTCTATCACAAGATGAAGTCTCATAGCATGAACGATTGCGAACAGTTTCAGAAATTAGGATACGAAGAACGCAGAGATTTCCTAATGAAAAACAAAGTCTGTCTCAAGTGTGTTAATTCCAACAAACATGTTGCCAGAGACTGCGAACAAGACAGGCTAGATTGCAAGATATGTCGACAGAAACATGCCACTGTACTGCATGACCCATCCAGGCACAAAGTGATTAATGCCAGTGAAGCGAGGTCTGCTTGCTCACGAGTCTGCAATCAAGGGCATTCTGCTCGTTCATGCGCTAGAATAGTTCTCGTCGAAGTCTTCCATCAAGACAACCCTTCAGCAAGGATGCTGACCTATGCAGTTCTGGATGACCAGTCAACAGATGTCTTCATCACAGACACTCTTCTCGACCAGTTGCAGGTCAAAGGCCAGGAAGTTAACCTCAATATCAGTACGATTGCGGGCGTGAACACTGTGCGTACTCAGAAAGTAAACGGATTGCACATCAAGGACACAGACAGTCGACACAATTCTATTAGGATTCCGTTTGCATACTCACAAGAGAAAATTCCAGCTAGCCATCAGGACATCGCCACGCCTAACATTGCCCAACTCTGGCCGCACCTTAAGGAGATCGCCCACCACATCCACTATCATCCCGGAGTAGAGATAGGATTGTTAATCGGTCGTAACATCCCATCTGCCTTTCAGCCATTACACGTTATATACGGCAAAGACAATGAGCCGTGGGCTGAAGAGTACAAGTTCGGCTGGACGATCATCGGTCCAGTTTGTCTAGACAACCAACAAGACAGTACGGCTTGTGCAACAGTTAACCGCATCACCGTACGACGAGAAGATTCTCACAACCTCTTCAATGTTCCAACGAGCAACAGTTCCAGAGAAGAGGCCGTAGCCTCTTTCGCTTCCAAACATCAATCTAAGGATGTCACTACGCCCCAGCAGATAAGAGAAATGATGCAATTGGATTACAGTGAACTACATCATAGCCGAACCATCCGAGGCACTGAGAACACCGAGTCTGTCGAGGACAGACGTTTCAATGATCTTCTTACCACAAGCATCCATACAAATGAACTGGGCAATTGGGAAATGCCGCTACCACTGAGGACAGACAAGTTGAGTCTGCCGAACAACCGAGAACAATGCCTAAACAGGCTACTAGGCATAAAAAGAAAACTTCTCAAGAATGGCAAGGTTTTGAAGCAATATACTGAGTTCATGCAGAAAATGTTTAACAAGAACCACGCCAGTCTCGTCCCATCAGATCAACTCAAGACTGCCACAGGAAAGGTGTGGTACTTGCCTCATTTTGACATTTATCACCCCAAGAAACCTGACCAAATTAGAATCGTTTTCGACTGCAGTGCCATCTTCCACAACGAGTCTCTCAACAAACATCTGCTACAGGGCCCTGACATGATGAATGCCCTCGTTGGTGTGCTCTCGCGGTTTCGAAAGGAAGAGACAGCAGTGACATGCGACATTGAACAGATGTTTCATAGTTTTCACGTCAGCCCGGAACACAGAGACTTTCTACGATTTCTGTGGTTCAAGGATAACAACTTAGAGAGTCAAATCGTAGAGTACAGCATGAACGTCCACCTTTTCGGGGCAGTCTCCTCCCCAGGAGTTGCTAATTTCGGTCTCAGAATGACAGCAGAAGCCGGCAGAGAACAGTTTGGCAATGAGGCCGCAGACTTCTTTGAAGAACGACTTCTACGTAGATGACGGGTTGAAATCTTTCGCCACACCAGCTAAAGCAATCAATGTCATCAAGAATACCCAAGCCATGTGCGCAGCAGTCAACCTACGCCTGCACAAGTTTGCCAGCAACAGTGAGACTGTGCTGGAAGCCTTACCTGCTGAAGATCGTTCCAAGGACTTGAAGGACCTCGATCTACGTCACGATGTCTTACCTGTCCAACGATCCTTAGGTACCTATTGGTGCATCCAGTCTGATACCATTGATTTCGAATTGAGCTCAAGGACAAGCCTCTCACCCGTCGCGGAATTCTATCAACTGTGAGTTCAGTTTATGATCCGCTTGGTGTCATTGCACCTGTCATCTTAGTCGGAAAACAGTTGCTCCAAGAACTGTGCCGCGAAGGCATCGACTGGGACGACCCAATTCC